ACTGAAGAGGAAGTACAGACTTCATCAATACTATAAACCAACTAGAACTAATAAATGTATATAGAACACTCCATCCAGAAATAGCAGAATATACATTCATCTCAAGTACACACTGAACATTTTCCAAGATAAAACATGTGCTAGGCCATAAAAAAAAGGCTCAAGAAAATTTAAAGGATTCAAAAATACACACTGTGTTCTCCCATCATGACTAATTCAAAATGGACCAAAGACTGAAATGTAAAAACTAAAACTAGTAAGGTCTTGGAAGAAAACATACGTGTAAATCTTTGTGCCCTCGGATTAGGCAATGTTTCTTTGATATGACACCAAAACCACAAAGCAAACAGACAAATATAGATAAACTGGACTTCATAAAAATTAAAGTTGCAAAAGACAACGGATAGAATGGGAGAAAATATTTGTACATCATATATCTGATAGGAGTCTAGTATCCAGAATTCTTACAATTTAGTAAAAAGACAAATAATCCAATATAAAAATGAAATAATGATGTTGAGCCTCTGTCACATGTTTACCGTTGATTTGAATATCTTCTTTGGAAAAATATCTACTCAAATCCTTTGCCCATGTAAGAATGGATTATTTGTCTTTTTATTTGTAAGAGTTCTTTATATATTCTTAATACTAGATCCTTATACTTAATTTGCAAATATATCTGCACATATATATCTGCTTTTTTACACTATACATGAGAAAGGAATGTTGGTAAGAATGTGCTAAATACAAACTTCCTCCAAGTTAAAGTATAAGTTTAAAAGTGAAATCTTGACTTAGTCTACCCTGACCCTTAAAGGTTTCAAAACTATCTGATGAACTAGAAAAGGTCTCAGTATGGAAAGATACTTCTTTAAAGGTTTTCTCTCTATTGTACAAAGTTTTTACAACAGCATTAAACTATAATTTTTAAAAGGAAAAGGGTTCTGAACCTTGCCATAAACTAGAACACAAAGACACATTTTAACAACAAAACATATTTACAATTACCATAAGCTTTAAATGTTAAATTGAGAGTGGGTTGGAGAGAGGGGTAGAGAAAGGTGGGAGGAATGCTTTATAGCTGATCTTGCTTGGCAGAATTTCCCACAGCAATTATTAAAATGTTACATATTTAGTACAGCATATAGAATATTTCTTAAAGGCTTTATATCTCCTTTCAAAGATGGACACTGCTCATATCTCTTAAAATTTTCATTGTTTTACTAATATATAATCAGTTAATAACAGTAATTTCATTTAAAAACAGATTCATCTTTCATAAATATTTTACTTTTACCTATAGGAGGAAAATGTCAGCTCTTCTCAAACCCAAACAGATTTCTTAAGAGTAGAATTTCATTTAAATAGGGAAGAAGATCTTAAACTTGAAATTAGAAAATTCATGCAAACTACTGCTAATTTCTACCAATAATTAAGAGATTTCCAAAGCCTAAAAATTCAAGAACAAAGGCATGTGACAGCCACTTAACTTTTATAAAATGACTCACTGTTGCTGATGCTGAAATTCTAAGAATTTCAATGAAATTTATAGACGAAACTTATCAATTTCTAACAAACAAGACTGTGTACAGAGATGCCAGTCATAATAATCATATTCTGCGCCTCATAACATCATTCTTCTTACTAGTTTTTGTTGGTTTTAGAACATGGCTGGAAATTTTTTTACTTCTCATCACAAGGTGAAATCTACATCCGTCCCCTCCCCTTGGATCCGAGTGGGCTTGTGACTGTTTCCAACACAGTAACAGAAGGGATGCTAACAGAAGGGATGCTATGTGACTTCAAGGCTAGATCATACTAGACACCATGCAGTTTCTTCTGCCTTGTTCACTGGAACACTGAGCCACCACAGAAGAACTTTAAATACCCTGAGGCCACCATGCTGGAAAGGCCCCCTGTAGCCTCTCCTGCTGACAAGTCCTAGCTAAGCCCATGCATCTAGTCATACCCATCCAGGTGCCAGAAATGCGAATTAAATTTGCTGAATAAATAGACAAATGAACTATGATGATGGGATTAAGACCACTGGGACTTAGGGATGCTATGTCTGAGTCATGAGAGGATAGGAGGTGAAGGAATTGCCTGAGCAGAAGCCTGAAATAAGTGCAGATGCTAACTGCCTAGTTGGGGGACATGTGTCAGCGATCTGGGAGTACAGCAAAGGATGCTCCAACCTCAGAGCCTAAGGGCTCTCATGCATGAAAAGCCGTGGGTGGCCTGACATGAAAATTTCTCATGGCTGTAGAGGTAGATTGCAATATGTCAGCCGAGAGAAGGGTCTCAAGGTTTCCATAGTGTTTGAACACTGGGCCAAGTTCCTTCTCTCCCTTTCTTTCAACAATGCTTCAGTTAATATAAAACCAGTCTCCCAGTGGAAAGCATGTAGCCTCTTTGTTCCTTGATCAAATGGGTCGTAGCTACTGAAGTTAAAAATTGATATCCATGTACACAGCTTGAGCTTGGGATAAAATCAGTTTACCTTGATCAAAAGGGTTGTACCTACTGAAGAATTATGTGTTTTTCACTTCTAGAAAAAAGAAGGAAATAAGCTAGGAAACCTTGTGATTTTGGGGGGAGCCCCAAAACCTTTGATCACTGTATCCCGTGATTTTTTCACATGAGATCATTGTGTTTTGCAACATGGCAAAGAGAATAAAGTGCTGGGTTTCAGTACTGCCACCTTGGCACCGGAGCACTGGTGGACCCCTGACTTCCCCGCTTTCTTAAATATTGTGTCTGTGTCTATGTCATTGTGTCTCTCATCTCTTGCAACACAGTTTGCCAGGGGACCCTATCTTTATCAGGGAGGTCACAAACCCCCCGATACTATATTATTTAGGGTTGAGCACTGGATAACATACATTTCTACCTGAATGTCAGTGTTTTTATTTGAGAGAATGAAGATTAGACTGTTCATCACATATCTGTTCAAATGGGATATAAAAATATTAAAGTTTTCATATTTATGTACTCAATAATTACACTTAGCTGTTTATTATCAGGTGAATCACCACCTTTTCCAATCAACAACCTTTTCATTGTATCTTTCCTATTATAGGCCAAGACACTTTGGAAATTATTAAATTGGTAATTCAAATATTAATAAGCACACCTGGAAAATGAATCTTTCGATTGGATATAACTGCTTAGCCTTTATCAACCTGTCAATGATGTAAAGGATAGTTTGCAATCCCCAAGATTTTACATGATCATCATAAATGGCTTCATAGAAAACATTAGTAATATTTCCACTACATATTAAATTTCTAAATGCAAGTTAAAAGAATATTTCTAAAAAATCTGTGAAATTTTTATGTCACTGCTCTCAGAATAAGTAACTGAAATGAAACTTTGTTCAGTTCCTCTAATATCCCTTAACTAATATTCATAAAAGAGTCAAAAAAGAATACTATAGCCTAAAAAGAATAGTTCTATTCAGAGAAGTTAAGAAGCCTAAAATATTCTTCAGTGTAACTAGGCCTGACCCAAACTAGTTTATTATTCAAAAGTCTGGTGTCAATTTCTGGGAAGGCCTTTGCCATCATGTTCCAATTCTATGCCTGCTGGTGACAGAAGATATACAAAAACACAGGGATATGTTAACACACATTTTCAAAAGTCTGTCTCATCTACTCTTTCTTAACTCCTATTTTTAGGCAATAGTTTAGATTTAAAAACTTTCTATATAAATCTAAATGTTTCTAACATGTTAATAATAGCTCACTCTTTTTTGGTCTTCCTCCTACATTTTTATTATTTCTAATGAGTACAGTAGAACCCCTTTATAACACTGATACTTAGGAACGGGATGAATGTGTGTACTCATGTGTACATGAAACTTTACTACACAGTAGTAGAGGACATGATTTGTCCTGTGTAGAGTCAGCATGGTTTATTAGAATAGTAAACAAGAAAATTAAAGCTTAAGTCTAACTATACCATAAAGTAGCTCTAATGTGAGTCGATTTCCTTAATTATAAAACGAGGGTTGATTAAATTAGATGGTCTCCTTCAATTCTATGATTTTATGTGTAAGTATAACAGCAAGCTGTTTTATACCAGACTTATATTATTATATCTAAATCCAATATGATGCATTATGCATTGTTTTTCACAGGAAGATTACTGCAGATTCAAACTATACAAATTGTTTACCTTGAAGTTTAGAATTCTATACATTTCTGCCATTTTATGTGATTCTACAGACATGATATGTATTTTGACCCTTCCTAAGTGCATAATTTTAAAGATCAAGTCTTTTACCAAAACTAGATTATAAAACTTACCAATCAACTAAATAAATTAACCTTTTAAAAAGCTCTTATTGGAACAAAGATCTCCACTAAATATTTAAAGTTTTCTAACCCCAAGTTTTTGTTCAGTTTAGTCCCTGAATACATAATCTTTATAAGATCTTAGCAAATAAAATCATGTATATTTATTTCCATGTTGCAACAAAATTATTTTTATTAGCTGAATATCCCATTGAGTTTATGCACTATTGTATTTTTAACCCTTCCTTACTTTTAGTAATTAGATTGACTCCAATTTATCAAATGATGTATAATGTTGCAGTGAACATTATTTATATGTAATTTTTCCTTCTTCTGGATATTTCCTTAGGATAGTACGCTAGATGAAAGGATATGTACATTTACAGTTTTAAAAACAAACTGCCTAACTGCCTTTAAAAAGAGTCTATCATAATATCCTGTCACCCAGTTGAATGTAAGTTTCATATTATAGCAGCAAAACTATTAATCGGTATAAAATGATACTTCCTCATTGTAGTTTTTGTATTTATGTTTTTGATAAATAATGATGTTAAATACTGTGCCATACAACTTATTTATTGTGTCTCTTCTGTGTTCGATTTGCCTACTTACTTATTGGTGTTTTTTACCAAGTTATTTGTTTGTTTGAACCACCATTTTATAAAACCTTGAATTACTTCTCTTTCTTTCATACTTTTTGCTTACCTGTTTTTAAGATGTGCCTCCAGATCACAGCGTTGCATTACATCTTGGCACACTGAAGAAAATGGACACAAAACTAACAATTTGTCTAGAAGTTTATGAACTAGAATACTAGATTTCTTACACAGCTTAAAATGAAGTCTTTTCCGGTCCAATGGACAGAAATCTTTCTCCTGTAAGAAGTTTCTGAGGCACTTGTAGCAGAATGTGTGTCCACAGGGGGTATCTAGTGGCTGCAGCAGAGGCTGAAGGCAAATGTGGCAGACTAGGTCATCATCCACTTCATTCTGGTAATTGTACAAGTGGTTTTCTCTCGTCCAATGCTGCTGGCCACATTCAAAACACAGGGGGTTTAGGGAGGAGGAGGAGGTCTGTTCCACAGACACCATCTCATCACTTGTCGTTCCCATTTTGAATCAGTTGAAGCAGTTTCTGTCTCCTTATATGTTGGGCTTCCACTTAAAGGTTGGTTTCCTTTGATAGACAGTGATGTCTCTGACTAAATCCAAGGTCTGTTTTTTCTGGATAAGCAAAATAAACAAAGTAATTAATATCAATCAAGATAGGTTAAAAGTATCAATATAATATTACTAACATGTTTTAGTAAAAACCTAAAAGTTCAGATCAGGTAATAAATTAGTCATAAAAATTAAATTAACTAATTTGCTAGTTGGCTAAGAAGAATGACTTACACTGCCAAGTTCTTGATGAAAAAAGAATTTATGATTAAAAGCAAAGATATACCATATATTATATAGTATAACATAAAAAACAATAGGTTTGTTTTACTGACTCCAAATCTCTAAATACTTCACTTCTTGGTGGTAGTTTTAAAGAAAATTAATCTAATTATGTGCTAATAGTAATACAATTCGAGGTTTATTGTATTTATATTTGTCATCCCAGTCATGGTTCTTTGCTTCTGATTGATTTTATGCATTTATAGTACTATACCACAGATTGTGTCTTTGAAATGTAGTCTCAAGGATAATTCAGAGTCTGATAATAAAAATGACCTTTGTTAAGCACTGTAAGAAAAATGGATTTCAAAATATGTATGATTTGAATATTCTCTCTATATAATACAGATTATAGAAAGACACATCGGCATAACACATAAATAACCTCTGTGCAAACTCAATAAAGTTTTACATTACTATTTTATTCCAGTTAAAGGAAAAAATCTGCTGTAATTCAAGTAAACAGATAAGCAGTGTTATAAATTCCACCTCAAATTATTCCACACTTCCATTTGGTCCTGCTTACTCAGAGCAGCAATTTGTATGAGTGTGTTTGTCCTCTCCAACACAAAACTCTCACAGCAGCCTCATGCAGTGCAGTGCAAGCCTAGCAAGGAATGCTCCCCCCATTGAAGGGTTTCCATCTTCCCCCTGCTGAAGCACCAGGAGATAAAAAACCAACGCCAAGAGCAGCAGCTCTCTGGATTCTTTCTTCTGCAAATATGTACAGAGCCTCTAGTACGTACCAAACATTGAACATGGATAAAGAAGAAGCAGGGAGAGGGCAGTTAAGAAAACCCATTGTTAAAATTTCAATGTAACAAGTACTCCAAGAAAGTTATGCACAGGATGTTATGTGAATATGGAGAAAGATGGCTTTGTGGCCAGAAATACTTTCAAAAGGGGAAAAAACACGGCCTGCTGAGCTGTGACAGGAAGCAAGAGGCAGAGAGAAAAAATGGACAAGAGCATCTCAGGCAAGACAAGAGCATTATTAGTTAAGTCACAGGAACTTGAAGGTTCACAGCAAATTCAGGGAATATGAAGTGGGTAAAAGATCTGGAGCACAGAAAGCACACTTGGGCAGGAGGATTCTAGAATTTAGTGTACTAGCCACAAGAATAGTCAAGAGTAAGACACCATGTTGAGGCTACTAGCATTTGTATTTCAATAACAAAATTCTCCTTCAATGACCTATGAATTTGCGAGCTTATTTACGTGGAGTATTTATTAGAAAATCATTAGTGTTTCAAAGATTTAACAAGCATTGCCTGAATTAGAAGGGGGTTGGAGAAAATTCAGGTGGGACAGCAGGCCTCACATTAACTCATGTTTTTTAAACTACCTAATATTATAAAATAACAATAACACCAGCCTGTATTCTAAACTCCTATCAGTACCAACACATCAAGAGAAGAAACACTCCTTGTATTTTATAACTCATGGAACTTGTTCTTTACCCTTTGAGCATCGTAACTTTTTAAATGTCAGGGCAAGGTTTGTGAGAGGAAGGAAAGAAATACATCACATATCTCAGGCAGATAGACTGGTTCAAGCTAGGTATTTTAATACAGAATTTCCACAGACGCTTGTTTCTACTCAGCAGGACAATTCATGCATCTTTTGCTCTTTTTGTTTGTGATAGCACTTTAATTTTTCTTTTCCTCAAGAAAATATACTGCAATTCTGGCCTCCCACATAATGACTAAGAAAGCTTTTATCTTAAGACTATTATATTTTAGCTATTTTATCCTAAGACTATTATATTTTAGCTATTTTCTAAATCTCTAAATAATTTTAGTTCTTTGATTATTTTCATTTTATCACATCTTTTCATAAGGAAAATGAACATGTTCCCATTCAAAATGCCACATAACAAATGCATTAGCTCCACTCCCCCAAAATACCTCTATATTACCATAAAACAAACATGAAATGAAAATTATCATGGATGGATCACTAACATGTGTTTATAAACATTGATTGAAGAACTGTAAAGTCATACAGCATAAATAGCTAAGAGTGCAGATCCTGGATCTGGTGTGAGAGGTCAAATCCTTGTTTGGTCACTTACAAAAAAAGCCTTGTTACCTTACCAATTCCTCTGTGTCTGTTTCCTTCTCAAATGGAAAATGGGAGTAGTAAGAGTGCCTACCTCAAAGGGTCAAAATGAAGAATAAATAAGTGTGGATAGATACATAGCACTTAAAACAGTACCTGGCAAATCACAGGTGCAATCTAAGTGTTAGCTATCATTAAAGACAAAGAAACCAAAGCTCAGACAGATTTTATGATCTGCCCAAAGCCATATAATGAGTAATTACTTAGTAAGAAAGGAGGAAGATAAACCCTGTTTTTTCTTGCTTCAAAATAACCCAGTAGTAAATTAAGTGATTACAGGAAAGAGCAAAGTTGTTTCAGAAAAGCTTCAGAGTGAGAGCTTTGTAAAGGAGAAAGGCAGCCTGACTCCACTTCTCCAATCCCTAATCCCACCACTCTACTCCCAGCCCAGGCAGATCTTTTTCTTTCGGCTTTGAGTGCAAGTCTGCTGTACCGCCTTACACCACTTCTCACGCTGGGGTCCCCTGGCAAGTTTAGGCGATTAGAACTACATCTACATATAAGATATGCTCATGTTTACACATAATTTTGATTTCAGATATTATCTGTAATATCTTTGAGCACAGTTTGAAATATGAAAATACAAGTTTTTAAATAAATGTCTCAAACATTTCCCAAAATATAAAGATAAAATGTAGCATAATGTACATCTTTATAAACTGCACAATCTGTGCAACAATATTCCAGGAATAGTAAAGAGATAGAAGGTATTAAATTGGCCAAGATATTACAACACATTTCTAATAGTATCTTGAAAAACAGCCAATGCAATGGGAAGGGAGTTATAAGACATTGTTTACCACCTAATTCCTGTTATAATTAACATGATTGCTCTTCCTGGTTTATGGGATAAGAATATCCTAGTACATCACAAAGACTCTCAGAACTATGGCTTTTCACTGTTATTCTGCATACTCCAAAACTATACATTATTTAGATAATTTCTCTTGACGTTACTTTTGACTCACATTTAAAGAGTCCTCACTAGCCCTAACCTAAGAGATCCAGCCCAGGGAAAAAGATAATGAGCCATGGTTACCACCAAAGTATAGTTAGACAGGAAACATCTGTGGTTCCTTTGACTCACTGATGCCGAGGGTCTAAGAATACCCTCCCCTGTCATTTCCTCCTGGCCCACTCCTCACTCCTTCGTCTCAGGTCAAACTCTGCTTCCTCTGTCAAGTCACATTGGCCTCCTACTTTTGGGTGTGCCTCCCTTCCCTTCTGCTCCTGCTGCTCTTCACACAAACCTTCATTTCAGCAATTACTATATTGCATGTTTGCTTATCTGTCTCCACTCCTCTTTGAGGGTAAAGACAGTATCTTTTTTATCTTTTGTATTCCCACATCTTAGGACACACTATGTACTTAAGGAAAAAAAAGTTCTCAGGTTCATACACAAGCCTGAAATCTAAGAGTCCTGAAATGTGTCACTATACAAATATATACAAGAAAATCTTGTGTGTTTATGTGTAGCACTGCAAAGCAATCAACATGACACAGCCTGTGATTTATGAATGAGCAAAGAATAAGGTATCACTCCCTTAAATCTTCAGAAGGCTGAGGAAAAATTTCCTTATTTAACGATGTCAACACAATTTTCTTATTGTATATGTCACATATCAGTTTTGATAAATGCCTTTGTATGAAGCAGTGGTTGCCAAACTTTTTTGACTTCAGAATCCCTTTATCCACTCTGGACAAGTTTGGCAGTTTCGTAAAAAAATCAACATCCAACTATCACATGACCCAGCAACTGCACTCCTGGGCATTTACCCTAGAGAAGCAAAAACTTATGTTCACACAAAAACCTGTGCGTGTTTACAGCAACTTTTAACAGCCAGAAACTAGAAACAACCAGCGGTACATTCATATCACAAAATACTACTCAGCAATAAAAAGGAATGTACTGGCCGGGCGCGGTGGCTCACGCCTATAATCCTAGCACTCTGGGACACCGAGGTGGGAGAATTTGCTTGAGGTCAGGAGTTCAAGACCAGCCTGAGCAAGACTGAGACCCCGTGTCTAGTAAGAGTAGAAAAATTAGCCGGGCGTCATGGTATGCACATGTAGTCCCAGCTACTTAGGAGGCTGAGGCAGGAGGATTGTTTGAGCTCAGGAGTTTGCGGTTACAGTGAGGTACAATGATGACACTACACTCTACCCAGGTCAAAAACAAAAAAAGGAATGAATGAATGAATTATCGATATACACAACAACCTCAATGCATCTCCAGAAAATTTTGTGAGCAAAATAAGCCAATGCTAAAAGGTTGTATACTGTATTGATTCATTTATATAACATTCTTGAAGTGACAAAATTGTAGAAATGGATTAGTGGTTGCCAAGGGTCTAGGAAGGGTTGGGGGTGGATAATGGGTGACATGAGAGGTGCTTGTGGTAATGTTCTATATTTTGACTGTATCAATGTCAATATTCTGGTTGTGATACTGCTCTGTAGTTGAGGCGCTACACAAGGCCAAGTTCAAGTTCCCTGGCCACCAGAAGATCCACATCTCAAAGTGAAGCTTTATCAAGTTTAATGTGATGAATTTGAAGACATGAGGGCTAAGAAGTGGCTCATCTTAGATGGCCGTCGTCAAATACATCCCCAATTGTGACCCCCTATACAAGTGGCAGGCCCTGTACTCATAAGGGCCTCTGTTGTGCTGCCCCCTCATTCGCGCCCTCCAATAAACCCTACTTCTTATCCACTGAAAAAAGAAATTTGATTGTCACTCTATTCTGATTGGTATGCACAATGAGAACAGATCCAATTTTATTTTTCTCCCAGTAGATAAAGTATATCTGACTCACATGTGTGTTCAAAAATCATGTCTTTACTTCCCTCTAAATAAGCACCTTTATACTCCCAGTATCCCTTAACTAGAACCAGAGAATCCATCTGTTTTTTGCTTACTCCTTGCTTCATTTTCCACAGCCAGTTTCCAAGTTCCTAGTGATTCTACCTCCAGAATGTGTTCCTTATCATAACCCTTCCCTCTATCCCCACCACTCCTCCCAGTTTAGGCCTGGGTTACTTGTTGCACTTGCTCTTTTAGCAAACTCAAAAGGTTTTCCAGTCTTTTTCCCTCTTCTGTCTTTCACAATATTAGTATCTAAAAACCAATGATAGCATTTTCCCCGCTAAATACTCTTTTGTAGTCCTCAATTGCTTCTACAAAATTAAAGCCAAATTCTTCAACCAGGCACTCAAACCTTCCAGATCTGTCTCCTCTAGTTTCATTTCCTGACACAATTCTATACATTTCATGCTTTGGCTACACCAAACTACTTACAACTTCTGACCTCAGCATGCTATTCCTTCTACCTGGAATGTCCTTTCCCTACCTTGGTGATCTGCAAAACTCCCATCCATTTAATGTCCAGCTCAAGTGAACCCTCTGCTGCAAAGCTCTTCCTGATCCACTCAAATATAACCACTTATTATGAGTCCCTTCCACTGCCACTTTATTATTACACTTATTATGCACCTCACTGCTGTGGCTAGCAATCACTTGTTTGTGTGATAGCCTGAATGGCCCTTAAAAGAAAGAGACCAAGTCTTATGTTACGCATCTCTATAACCCTAGCGTCTTGTACTATGCCTGACACGAGGATATGGTTAATAAGAAATCTGAGGAATGAAAGAGGAACAAATGAGTCTTCAACTTTTACCTGCCTCGACAAATCCCACTGATTTTGTCTCTAGAATTTTTATTCCCACTACCTCTCCTCTAATTTAGGTTTATTTCTGTTACTTCCTATCTCCTAATTGCCTCTACTTTCAGCTCCTCATCACAAAAGGTGATCTCTTAGCAAATAACCGCCCTCAAAAAAAACCCAAATCCTATTTACAGGAGAAAGGCCAGGCATCTTAACAAGACATATCTATCTCTGTTAGTATGCTTACTCCCAACCCCCCAACCCTGTGCTCTAGCCAGATGTCACTACAAACCATTCAAACCCCTCTGTTCCCAATGACTGTTAGTTGGTCTCTCTTACCTGGATATCTTCTCGATATCTCTCCTTCCTTTCTTTCCCTTACTCCCTCCTCTTCCTGCCTACTCTGCCCCTGCATCCTACCCCCCCCCCAACACACCACATTCCCTTACTCTTCCCACCACTTTTTCTAGGCCTCTTTTCTATTACGCACACCCCCCCCCTTTTTTGGGAGACAGAGTCTTGCTCTGTCACCCCAGCTAAAGTACAGTGTGCAATCATAGCTTTCTGCAACCTAAACTCCTGGGCTCATGTGATCCTCCCACCTCAGTCTCCCACATAGGGACTATAGGCACATGCCACCACATCCAGCTAATATATATGAAGATACTACTCTATTTTATCATTTACTACCATATAATATACAAAGATCTACTATAAAAAGTTAAAATTTATGAAAACTTACACAAACACAGACTGCCCATGGCCTCATTCACAGTGGAGAGAAATGTAAACACATAAAGATTCAGTATTAAATCATAATTGCATGGAGTTAACTGTCGTACATACTGTACTGCTGCAGAAACTTCGCAGCCACCTCCTGTTGCTACTATGGTGAGCTCCACTGTTGCGAGTATCTGCTTAAAATGTCATGTGATGCTAATCATCTCCATATCAACAGTTCACATATGGCGCAGTAAAAAGTGATCTCTCACCGTGCTCAGGTGTTTTTCACAGTGTTTTTTGCAGTACTGTAAACCCTGAATAACACCATGGGACCCATATGATGCACCACTAATGATGCTGAAAGTGCTCCCAAGAAGCAAAGTCATAACATTACAAGAAAAAGTTGATTTATGGATATGTACTGTAGATTGAGGTCTGCAGCTGTAATTGTCCATGATTTCAAGATAAATAAATCCAGCCCAGCACAAGGACCACTGTAAAAAATGGAAAGGAAATTCGTGAAGCTGTCGCTGCAGCTACATCAGCAAACATGAAAACTTTGTACTTTACTTTGAAATAACTTCTCTCATATTGAAAATGCAGCTTTTATGTGGGTGCAGGATTGCTATAAGAAAGGCATACCTATAGACTAATATGACTCGAGAAAGAGCAGTCATTATATGACCACTTAAAAAAAAAGGAAGGTGAAGGCTCTAAAGCTGGAGAATTTAATGCCAGCAAAGGATGGCTTGATAATGTTAGAAAGAGGTGTGGCTTTAAATATGTCAAGATAACAGAAGCAGCTTCTGCCAAGAGGCAGGAGACGAGTTCCTGGATGCCATTAAGGAAATCGCTGAGGAGAAAGAATATCTGCCTGAACAGGTTTTTATATGTCACAAAGGACATTTATAAGTAAGGAAGAGAAGCAAGCACCAGGATTTAAAGCAGGAACGGATAGGCTAACTCTACTGTTCTGTGCAAATGCAGTCGTGTTTATGACCAGGACTGCCCCCTTATCTATAAAACTACTAATCCCCAAACCTTGAAGGGAAAAGATAAACATCAGCTGTCAGTCCCTGGGTTATATAACAAGAAGGCCTTGACAAGGAGAACCCTTTTTCTGGATTAGTTCCATTGATGTTTCATCCCTGAAATCAGGAAGTACCCAGCCAGTAAAGGACTGCCTTTTAAAGTTCTTTTGATATTGGACAATGCCCCTGGCCACCCAGAATCCCATGAGTTCAAAACTCAAGAAGGTGTCAAAGTGATCTACCTGCCCTCAAACAAGTTTCTAGTTCAGCCTCTAGACCAGGGGGGGTCATAAAGATCTTTAAAGCTCATTATACATGATACTCTATGGAAAGGATCGTCAACGCTATGGAAGAGAATTCCAATAGAGAAAATGTGAAAGTCTGGAAGGATTACACCACTGAAGATGCCTTAGTTGTTACAGAAAAAGCCATGAAAGCCATCAAGTCTGAAACAATAAATTCCTGCTGGAGAAAACTGTGTCCAGATGTTGTGCCTGACGTTGCAGGATTTACGACAGAGTCAATCAAGGAAATCATGAAAGATTGTGAATATGGCAAACAAAGGTAGGGGGTGAAGGGTTGGTTTCAAGAGATGGATCCTTGGAGAAATTTAAGAGCTAATAGAAACCACACCAGAGGAATTAACAGATGACTTGATGTAGATGAGTGCTTCTGAACCAGTGCCAGAGGGGAGGAAGACGACATAGAAGCATCAGTGCCAGAAAACAAATTGACATCAGACAACCTGGCAGAGGGTTCCAATTATTCAAGACTGCTTTTGCCTTCTTCCTGACCCCCATATGGACACATAAAGTAATTTCTACTGTGGTAATTTAGAAAAGTTTCTTGGAGGAGTGCAATGGTTCAGAAACAACAGGGAGACACTTAATGGGCAGTTATGGAGGATAAGGGACAACAGCTTTAAATATGTAAAGTATTTTGGCAATAATCAGAGCACCACATGTGGGTGTTGGCATGTGAGGGGGTAGATGGACAGAGAGAGGGTCTGAGGGCTGGACTGTGTACAGAGAGCAAAGGCAAGAGTTCCAAGCAGAGAAATCATTTGACTAGATCTACGTGTCAGGGTGGGTAACTGGCAGCAGGGTGTGGTATAGGTAAGGAGGGTATGGCAATAATGAAATGAAACAAAACAGGAAGTTATTGCAATGGCCAAGGTGAATGACAATGAGAAATCTGAACTAAGGTAATGATTAGGAATAATCTGAGGAGGAATGGATTTGCACACTTTAGGATATAAAAATTTTAGAGAGAGAGAAACAAGAGGGTCAGAGAAGGTGATAGCATACCCAAACCAGCACAGACATATCAAAGAAAAAAGAACTATAAGGCAGATTTTTCTCGTATTTCCCATCAAAATATACCTATATTCCCTACAATCCAATGGTAGTTTCTCAGTAAATATAAGCAGTTTCTCATAA